ACAGACAGCCTCTTCCCAATATGCGTTTTTGCAATTTACATAAATGCAAAAACGCATAAAAACTGAGAATACGATCTGTTCGTGATGGAAAGTCCAACTCCCTCCCCCTAACCCCCCCCTCCCCCTTTATTTGTTCATGACTTAATCAATCTACATTAAATGTATACGACTTAATGGACCGAAGCATTTTTTACCAGTTACAAACATTTTAATATTCCCCTTCCGCTTTTTTCACTTCGTTCTCCTTCTCTTCTTTTTCCTTCTCCTCATTTTCTACATTACCTTCAAATTCGTAAATAGCCAGATGGTAGTAATTTCCTTCCAAGAGTGGCCACCCATGGAACTATTGATGGACCCCTCTTTCGTTGGCTATTTCCTTTTTTCAAGCAAAAATATAGTCACTCACTGATACAGTGCAAGAGAAAGCTCTGGGTGGTCGAAGACCACTTTGCTTCGAGTTGCTGCTGACCGCTGTCCACGTCCAACTGGTTCATTCCCATCGCCAGAATCACGAGTATTTTTTTCCGGTTCCCCAAGTAGTTTCATTAAGCACGGACTCAATTCTCGCCTGAAAAATGATCTCCAGTACGCCTCGGGCTGTGTAAAAGAAAAACAGGGAGTTAAACCGTAAAAAAATTCTAGGGAAATGCTTCTTAGGTAATTTAAAAAGGTATGAAATAGTAGAAAAATTTTTTTTGGGCAAAACTGCTTGAATTGGTAATCCCTTCAGAAGATGAAATGAACGCCAGAAATAGTCAGCAGATTGATGCAGCATTGCCGAAAGCAGTTGGAAAAATTGCCGGTTGGATTGTTGGTAAAACAAATTTTGAACTTCAAGAGTTTTAGATATTGCAAGAATCGGACAAAAACCCCGCTTTCTTTCACCCATCACAGAAAGAAGAGTCACTTCGCCAAAAGCAACCACTCGTCTTGGAAAAGGATATCGATGGCTCCCTGTTCCGAGAAATGTTTCAGAAACCACATGAAATCGAAAAACTTTTATAAATCGAATTTTTAGAAATTAGCAGACATGTAAAAATTAATCTTCAAAAATCCAAACAACTGACATGTCAAAAAACAAAACCTTCTCTGGAAATTTTGGCAGGAAAATCACTAATTCGGAAAGAGGGTAGCCAGAAAGCTGAAACTTTAGGGGAATGTTCTCCACTCATGCACAACCAAACTCATGCGCTCGGCACCCACATACGCGCACATGGAAATTTTGGTGAGAAAAGCACTTCCCTTCCACAAGCAACGGAGAGAATCGGAACTGATTCGAGCGATAGTGAATGCTAACAGCAATAAGCCTTTCGCAAGGCTGTCGATAGCTTCCACTTTCGAAAGTTACTTAAAAGCAAGCTGATGGCAAGTTTGACTCCACAGCATATGCAAGTACCAATTTACTATCGAAACGAATGAACGAATCGTAGAAGGACTGGTTGTCTCAGCGGCGGGGCCGAACCTTACTGCATTACAACAGTGCTATTGCACACTGTGCCATGCCCGCCAACTTTCATTTATATTCAAAAACCGTTACCTTAAAAAATTATTTAAATTTTTTCATTCAAAAAAAACTCACCAAATAACACTGAGAAACGGTTGATGCTCTGTGACGATGATGGGCTGTGAACTGAGAATACTATAGATGGCATCAAGAAGGATCACCACTTCATCCGATCGAGAATTAGCAGCGTTTGCCCGTTTGATTACTTCATTGAGCAACGCGGTGGCATCCATAAAAATGGCTATTTGTTGCTGAGATTGCCCGCCCTGAAAAGTATTTTGCCTTAAATACTCTGCTGACAATTTATACTGTAAAACAGTCAGACTTTCCATCAGATGAGCGGCATGCAGGATGATATCACAGTATCCATGCAAGAAAGTAAAATCCGCTAAACAAGACATGTTGCGCGCGTCGCCGACAACTGATGGAAGCTAAACACAAAAGTGGCACTTGCGAGAAAGAAAACGACCACTCGGACGAGCCCTAAACAGGTGGCGCAAATGCATTAGCAGCGAGTACTAACTGGAGATATGCAGTATAAGGTGTTTCGCATTAACCCTCCTCATGTCCTAAGTTGCATACCTGTGAAACATTTCAAGGCCATTTTTAAACGAATGGGCCAAAAATCACCTGCGATTGTGATCCGCAAAATGAGCTAAATATCTGCGTGACAGCAGCACGGCATGCCAAGCGAACACTCGTTTCTTCCGCATTTTCATAAGTTTGCGTACATAGCTAAAAAAAATGATTTCTTGGCACAACAAAATAATTTTTTAGAGCTTGAACGCCTACGGCTAATATGGAGTTAGCACTTCGATTTTTTTAGAGACTGAACGCCTACAGCTAATATGGAGTTAACACTGCGACCGTCATACTGACGAGGTCCAGTCGCGGTGTTGAGCCAAGACTTATATGATTTCATGGATCTAAACGTCTTAACTCTCTCGTACTTATTTTTCCTGTATCGGCAATATTTCTACATCTTGCATTACATAGTTCGTTCTATTCTTGCCTTCTTTTTTAAGTTCTTCGTATTACTTTCATGCTACAGTCATGTGGAAATCAGCTTAGCATCAGCAATGTAGCATCAGCCATTCATGAAGTTAGCATCAGCCATCTTCTTTCACTTCCTCCTTTTTTCTTCCTTTTTTCCTTTTTTTTTCTTTTTCTTTTCCCTTTTTTCTTTCTTCTCCTTACGCACTGCGACCGCCATACTGACGAGGTCCAGTCGCAATGTTGAATTAAGACGTAAATGAATTAATGGATCGAAACGTCTTATCTCGCTCTCACCTTCCTCAGTCTACACTACTACTTCCTCCTAACTCCTTCATACCCTACCATCTGCAATTCCAGGGTTAACCTAGAGGCTGCAACCTGCTTAACACAAACAGCAAGTTTAGAATCGAGAAACTTCACCAGTTGCCACAACGCACGGATGAGTAAAATACCGAAGAAGCTAAAGTCGCCAAAGGTCTCAAAATTTCGAAAAAAAAGGAAAATCTCGTACCGTCAAACTTTCCATAACAGCTTTAATTGTAATCTGTCGTTCATCTTTACACATTACTTCCACTATTATCTGTAACCGGTAACGATCAGTGTCTCAGCTTTATTTTAATACAGCAGTGTTACTTTGTAAATTTCACCGTCTAGGTCCTGTCGCAGTGTTGAGTTAAAATGTATATGACTTGATGGACCGAAATGTCTTGACTCGCTCCTATACTCTTTTCTCAAACTGTTCTTTCTTTCCGTATTCTATCGCTCTTTTGCCACTTAGATTTTCAGGGTCAACCTGGTTGCTACAAGTCAGTTTAACTGTGGTGTTGAAAAAGAATGTATGCGACTTAATGGACCAAACACTTCACTTAAAACGCTTTTCTTCTGCTTTTTCATCACGCAATAATAACGTTTCTACAACTTAAATTGTTTAAATTAATACTGTTTCCTTAACATTCTTCGCGCTAATTGAATCTTTCCTTCCTTAGCTCAATTTTTGAAACTAATTTAATTCACAATGAAATAATAAAATTAATTTCAATTAAATCAGATTTAACAATCTCAAATGAAATTAAATTATCACAGAAAATGGAGCAAACGCTGGGTTCCCCTTGACCAAGACAACTGGAAACATGTAACAAAGTGTTTAGCAACATCGAGAACTCCCAATGATAAATTAAAAAATTTTTTTTTATTTGTAATTGATTAGAAAAAAAAAAGTTCTACCGTCAATAAACGACATTGCACCGGCGATTTAATTACTGGCAACAGAGCGATAGCTTTCAGTGTCGACATCACTAGAGTTTCGTTTTCGGAAGTTGTCGTTTTGGACATGTATCGCTCATCTCGAACAATTGTCTGCAAATATTTTCTACAGCTGAATTCAGAAAGTTCCCGTCTATTCATTTCTCTCTCTCTCTTCCAGCTACCATCGAAGTAGTTTTCCATCCTAGAGCCTCATAATTCCATACAGCCGTTCAAACCGGTCCTTTCAAAGCGCTGGTTGCCTTCCCTTTGTTATTCTAACAGTACGTGTAGGCCATTCAATTATGCTTGGAATTCCAGTACAATTTCAGTACAAAATTATCCTTCCTTACTTTCTACAAACAAAACGAACATGATCAGCTGGTGAATGCACCTTTTTCATTTTACGCTTTTTCTTTTTTTTT